CTTCAGTTTTCCCTGCCAATCTTCATTCCACCAAATTCTCCATCATCATAATCACCCAGGGCAGGTACAATAGGCCAATCAGTGGCCGCTGTGCCAAGTGGACCCAGCGGGACTCCACCCCCTTCTAAGTGAATTAAAAATTAATAGAACCAATAGCCTTAATTTTAAAGGGTGGGCCCATAAAAGGCAGATATATTCATTCTATGCTAGTAAAGGTAAAAACGGTAACAGGTAAAGCTTTCCCTGTAATAGCCCTTGGAGGCCCACAGGGTTGTGAGACATCGAGGCTCCCACATATTTTGGACAGTTGGCTCACAGATGGTGGTGACATCAGCCTTACGCACCGGCCATCCTTTTCCACCAGGAAGATTCCTGATATTCATGTTTGTTAGAGGCTGATTTGACCCCAGGACCATAGTGTGGCTGAAAGGATTAGGTAAATTGAAAAATGCAATGACCTCATCGGGAATGAAACCTGTAACCCTCTGGCTTTCAGCACAGTGCCTCAACCAACTATGCTACTGTGTGCCCCCATTCTATGCTAGTACCTTAATAAATGCATATGATCACAACAACAAAAAATTGTATTTATTTACATGTACACAACATAGGGTACCTACGAATGCGCACATTCATACACATATACACAGAAAAACAGAGACTGACTGACTGATCACAGCCACTTCTAGAGTCATGACTTGCAAGATGCCTATCTAATGTAGACTTCTATTCACACTAACAGTAAACCATTAATGTATTCACAGTTTCACACTCTGAACTGTATCTATATATGGAAATGTACAGAAATATTACAAAATATATATTTTTTCCTTCAATTCTGTGATGACATACACTTCATATCCAATGAACAGAATAGTCCGAAAAATGGCCAACATCATAGTCTGAAGGCCAGTACTCAGCACTCACACACAAAGAATCTTTGGAAAGGAATATATGAAGTAGATGTATGTATGGCAGTTTCATATATAGGAAATACCCAGATGCATATTTGCTCCTGTGAAGCAAGGATAATTAATAATGTCTGCACAATAATAAATTTAATGATGACAATGATAACGATAACTGAATGATATTTCAGCTTTCATGAAGAGCAAATGCAATGAAGTCTTCTCAGACAGTGGGCTGCATCAAGATGTAACTTCAGCATTTCAGGAACCTACAGCAGTACTGCTTACCAAATCCATCCCTCATGAATGAGATAGTGATATTTCCCAAAATATTGGAAATGCATCCCATCTTGACATGCATAACTGTCAAAGAAGACCTCACTACAATGATAACAGCAGCTTTATTTAAATTGGAGCCTGTATTACGTTAAACTTCACACTTTGTTCAAGTCTTCTGTAATATCATACTGCATTTATTCAGAATTCATATTCACAATATTAACTATCACAGCTGTGATACGATGACTCACTGTACAGCACAGGTCATATAGCTCCCTCATACAGTTTTTGTAATGTATACAAAATACAATCAAACCTTGCTTCACAGTTTCTGTGGAAACTTCCAAGCATAAATGATCTGCATCCACAACTACAAGCCACTAACTAATGTTCACTGTAGTACCCTACCCCTATAGTTCAGTAAATGTACATATTGTAACCATTACAGCAATCATAATCTGGAGATGGCGGGGGTTATCGCCAGCCATGGCTGAGGCTACAACCAATACTGGGCATTCACCACATCATTGTAAAGTCACGGCCAAAACAATAATTAAAATGGCTACGACTATTAACAAGCAGATTATGATGAGGATTTTTTTCTGTGAACAAAAAAAGAAAAAGGAAAACTTAAAAACTGTATTACAGAAAAATAAAAAAACAAATGAAGCAAACTGCATGGTAACATTCAGAGATAATTAACATAGCAATAAATTTCTAATGTTTACCTTTATTTGTAAATTAATTATCGAATAAGTTAGACTGATTTTCTCAAACTGACATTAAGTATATGATATTTAAAAAATTTGATCTTGTAACAGAAATTCAAAATTTCTTTCCTCATGTAATCGATCATTTGAACATATACCAAATACAAATAGGCTTTTTTCAATATTTAAATAAAAATTTGTCCTTTCTCTTTATATGGCAGGACATACAATCCTACAACTATATTTTCCAAAACAAGAAGTTGTACTTACAGTATGCTTTTTTCATATTTAAATAAAAATTTGTCCTTACTCTTTATATGGCAGGACATTCAATCCTATAACTGTATTTTCCAAAACAAAAAGTTGCACTTACAGTATAAGAAAGAGCAATATATAGAGCAACAAGAATTTCTTTGTCATAATTCATGTTCTGCAGAAAGCAGTATTTGTTAGCAGTGTGAAACTAAACTTTAAAAGTGCAGCGATACAAGCTGGGAAGTTAAATACTGAAATATAAAATAATATGTGCATAAAAGAAAATGAAGACATTTACAAACAGCAAACAGCAATGCTATTAGTGCATATATTTTGACAGAAACCAAGAAATGAGACATGCAGCAATGAGAATTAACTCATGCCAAAGTATGTTCCTCTCTCTTCTACTCTGATATCTCTTTATAATTTATTAACAGAATCAAGACAATAGAAAATGACAAATAATTATGCCCACACCTCATTTACCACACTGAATTCAAATATTCTGTCAAAGTGCCATTATTCTTTCCAAAAGCAAATTAACCTATTGCTGCCTGTTACAAAATGGTACCTGAAGGGTAAATGTACTACTTTCTCGATAACTGAAACACTGCATTTATCAAAGATTCATCAATTAGAAAGTGAAATATGCATCATCACAACATGTTGCTTAGATCATATGACAGTTTACAAGAACGGAGTATTCTTCTCATGCCAAAAGGCAACATAATTTCTTAAAAAGAAGATGTAACAATTTTCTTGTTCTAGGCTATTTCTACAAATTGATAAAAAAAAAAAGAGATAAAATGCCAATGAATAAGAAAATCTTATGTAAATAGTGGTACACATTACAGAAGTTCGGCAATCTTCTATCCTCGCGTTTCCTTGCAATGTAAATGGTCTAAAATACAGATATTAGGCACCCAAAATTGACATTAGGATTGGTTTCCATTACACAAAGCAGGGCTATTAACAAAGAATCACTTGACATTATGACAAAATACACTGAAAGATAATACATATTTGAACAGTAAATTAATGTATTAAAATTACTGTTCAATCCAGCACTTACTGTTAATGTAATTACACAATCTACTAATTGTCCAGCTTCAAGTTCCAGTCCTTAATAATTTGATTAGTAATTCTACAGACATATGACTCTCCAGCTGGTGGTCATAGCAGTATTTAGTTTTCTTAAAAGTCATTTCATAAAACTATAAATCGTAAGTAAATAGACTGCTTTCTTAACCCTTTGCCATGCCACTTAAATCTATTTTACCCTGATGCTATCAGACCAGTTAGTTTAACTCTCTGCTCATCACACAGTGATTGCATCTGTTGGATGTACTTAGCATTAAAACTGCCATAACCAAAAAGACAGGCTTACTGTTAATCTATCAGTGCAGTATTTCTCTCAACAGGGGGCATCTAGTGTTACATGCTAATGTTTACAGGGAAGAACAGGCTTTCACATGACCTACACCTATTATCATTTGATGGTCATATAAGGAAGTATTATGGGTTTTTCTGTGCACCCCAAGACAGCCTTGGCATTTCTCTCTCATCCCTTGGCCATCAAAAGGCCCATTGTCAATTAGATATAATGTTTCAGTAGATTAGGTGCAGCATTAGGCATCAAGCTTTAAGACTGAGATGTTCTCACAGTGGTAAATACAGTCTTCTGGGATGTGACACTACACAGTGTGGTAGAGGGGCATCAACATTTCCAGGGAACATACTTCCCCCATCTTCACAAGATGCACATTATATGTTTCTCTGAAATACTGGTACCCATTACCGGATTACATAATGTCATGTTCAAGGTAACCAACTTGTTTGCTTTGTACCATGTTTGGCCTGGCAAAGAGTTAACAGAGCAATTTCATATCTGAAGTTCCTGAGTAATGACATGTCAAATACATAATTCCACAATTACAATAGACCATGCAACAAAATAATCGCAGACAAGACACAATCATCACCATATTTACACGTTACCTTGCGAGCCTTGTGTTGGTAGTCTTCGGCAATAATGAGCTTTTCACGAGCGGATACAACAGCGTCTCCTGATGATGCTACATGGTGTTCAATCCTGTCAACCAACTCACCCTGAGGGAGTGCTCCAAGAGCAGTGCCAGTATATGGGTGACGTTAGCAGCAAAAGATAATGAGAGAGGACCGAAAGGGTGGAAAACGAAGTTGCATCATGATTGGGGGGAGGATGAAGTTTCAAAGTATCAAAGGAAAGGGGCATTGTGATGTAAATAGTAAGCACAGAAATAGAAAGCACAGTTACCAAAATTAATACATTTAAGAGACACAAACATTGATACAAATTACCCACACAAAATCCATACATTAATATTAAAACACACACCCATACATATGCATAAACGCACACACAAACAAGTTGAAAGGATTGAAGACAGTGTTTTTTTAAGCACAGTTCCAAGAACATTTGAAGTGTAAACCCAAGTTACAACATAATAAGCACAGAAAATGACATAGGCACAACATCCGCCGCCACCACCACCAACATCACAGCCATGGTGTTAACAAAAGAATGCAGTGTTGAGGAGACACAAAAAGCCACATTGTTGTTTAGTGTAATTTGGTATGAGGTTAATATGATAAATAAAAATGAAAATATTGATGTTGTGAGAAAAAATTGCATCAGGAAAAGAGGCAAGAATAAGGTCAATTAAATAAAGAACAGAGAGAAAACAATGGCAGGTTATTGGTTTACAGGTATCAGGAATGCAATAAAAAAATGGGGAAAAAAATAAATATGATTAGATATGTACACTGAGGTGCACATAAATCTAAAATTATTTAACAATTGACTTACCCGCCTAGCTTTACTCTGATACTTGAGTGCCTTCTTGGTGTCTTGTGTGGCGGTCTGGACATAGTCCACTGCATGTTCTACGTGATACTCGATACGATCTATCATTTCCCCCTACAATGGACAGGCCCAGCAAAAAAGAGAGAGAACAAAATGGGACAAACCCTTACTGTTAGTCAGAGGAAAAGCAATCACAAGAGATTACCTGTAGCACCCATGCTAAGACAGAAAGCTATGTATCATGCCATATACCAGTATGGTTGTGTTCAGCCTTAGAGACAAAAGTCTGCATTTACTTACATACTACTTAACAGTTTTACAGAAATAAATTCAACCCAATCAATGGAACCAAATATGTAGAACATAAAGCAGGGTTGTTCAATTTCAAACCACTGAGGGGGTTGCACTATACCTCAGGTAGACACCTGTGGGCTGCATTATAAAAATATATTTTTTTTTTCCAGCAACTTTGATACAAATATCTGCATTGCAACCATAGTAAACAATATTATATTTCAGTATACTGTTGCACTGATGCATCACTCATCCACTCATTTCCATCGCTAATGTAACATAAACTTTTATTTTAAAATGTTATTACAATGACTTTTAAATTTCCTAAAATGTCATTAAAATCACATTTAATTTTACTGTTGAAACATCTTTCAGCCCTACAAGGCCTTCCTCAGGCAACTGTTAATTGACTGAAACTGCCACACTGTATCAGCTTGTGTCAATATATTACATGCTACTACTGTTAAGTTGCTGCCCACACTTTATTCACGCTAGTTTCATATTGTGGCATCCATGCTGTGTTCCCTTTGTACACACAAATAAAAATTGGTTCCATAAAGTTGAAACAACTTCAATTTTAATTAAATACTGCCAGGTCAATGGTACTTAAAAATCAGCCAACAAAGATTTCCTATAATGTATCAGCATGGCACTTCAACTTGGAGTATTCAAATTCCATATTTTTCCAAGTTACTTAATAGAGGACATGTGAAATGAACTGAAAAATACATCTTTAGTAAGCGCTTTGCATGAAGTTCTTTGATAAAATTTTCAGCCTCTTTCAAAGACAGCATTAACTCATTTTTGGGAGAATGCAAGCAGACCCTTAAAGCCAAAAGTCTATGTATTCAGTCTGTCTATAATGCAACAATTGTTTTATTCACAATTTAACACTCAACACAACATGTTTCAGCCATAGATGTCCATCTTCAGGTGTTTTAATGCGTCCAACTGTTACAGTGTTCTGAAGTGTGCTAACATCGCATGTTGCAGTCCACTTAAAATAACATAAATAATTACTTAAAATCCATTAATATTTTCTATTAAAATTTTTCTTAAAATCCTATTCCACCTCATAAGGGGCGTCATCCACATCTTTAGAATTATGTGTTTATTCAGAAACATCCAACAATGGCCATCTATGGCCGAAACATGTTGTGCTGAGTGTTAAATGGTGAAGAAAACAATTGTTGCATTATAGACAGACTGTGAATACAAAGACGTGTGGTTAAAGATTTGCAGCAGGATGCTGAAATACAGACCCTTAAAGGTCATACAAAAAACCAATGGGCTCGCTACATGCGGCCTACATACTGCCATCTGGGCAGCCCTGCTCTAAAGGCATAACTTAAGAAAAGATATAATTCTTTTTTGACAAGAAGGAGAATAGCCATGAGATTTAAGGTTCTATAGACTGTCTTCTGGGATGTGAGGCCACCAGAGTTTCAAAGGAAAGTGCTTTCTCCATCTTCAGGGCAAAAGGTCTCAGTACCTCAAACAGGCATTGACACTTTCTTTCCACACCTCTCCCAATTCACTATCTGTTAATCATCCTATCATTCATTATAATATAGTTTGAGATGCTGAGAGCTTTGATAAATATACCATAAAAAATAAACATCAGGAATCTCAGAACTATAGCCATGACTCAAAGCAAAAATCTTACACAGTACTAAACTGAACACAACCATACATGTATTAACACAAGTTCAGTGACAGTACTAAGGTTAGAACTACACACTACTTTGTAGCACTTCACAAACTGCAATGTGGAAGTTAAGAAAATGAATTATTGTCATGTGTTGCTGAGTAGAAAGGTAAAGTTAAAGTTGTCCCTGTGCTTAACTAATTAAGAACTATGCCAATGAGATGTACGGGGGAGTGGATGTATAGATCCACATTTTATTGGCCTTGGCACCAGTTGGAGGTGAGTGGTCAGCTTCATGCCCCTGCTGCTTTACCCCTGGAAAAAGAGTCCCCAGTACCCATTGGATAGGAGGTTGGGAAGACACCAGAGCCTCTGGACAACACAGAAGAGAAAATTCTTGATCCTACTGGGACTTGAACTCCAACCCCTTATTCATCCAGCCCTTAGCCAGTTGCTATACCAACTATACTACCCTAGCTCATGTGTTGCTGAGTATAACATTCAATTCTTTCTTGTAGTATGAACACAAAATAGGGCATCACACAATTAGTTTTATACCAGCAACAAGAAGACAAAAAGAATCCATGTCATAACATTTGTAAAAATAAGTACAGTCAACTCTCAATTATCCGGGGGCGGAATAACCGGTTTGCGGCTTATCCGGGGCTACTGAGGCTTTTTTGAGGCTTATATGTTGTTTAATATTCATTCACTTTTGTTTCACATGGTGAGTTGTAACACTTTTTTCACACTAGTGTGAACCGAGCTCTGTATTCTTTGGTCCCGTTATGCTAACACAATGTTCTAGGGTAGGGGTGAAAGAATGCAAGGATTTGTGGAAAGTTTCAAGGACAGATACATCACCCCAGTTGGTCTCTTTGCATCGATCTTCAAGTGTGTTAGCAAAATGTCAGGGTGTAAAAGGAAGCGTGTTGTGTTAAGTATTCAACAGAAACTCGAGGTGAGCCGGGCTTCGAAATGTTAAGCAATGACGAAACCGTAAGTTCAGTGGGGGTGCAGCCAGAAGAGCAGGAAGAAAGTGAGAATGAGGAAGAGGTGGACAGTGCTGCTAGTAAGAAAATATCACATGGTGCTGCTCTTAATCATTTGGAATCCTTACTAGACTATCTTGAGAGTGAAGAGAACAGTTTGTTAAGTGACAAGCTAATATTACGTAGGCTTCACACGGATATCGGTAAAAAGGAAAATGCCGCGAAAAAGCAAACAACAATATTAATTTTTTTAAAGAGTTAAGTATGAATATTCGTAAAAATTGTTGGATGTTGTTGAACACTGTAACTGAAATAACTAATTCACACTTCAGTATAATGTAAAAAAAAGTATTAAATAGGCCATGAGATGACATAAAAATGAGGTTGAATAAATTTAAATACAGGTAAGCCTATAGCATTATGAAGGTACAGTATTACAGCACTACTTTTAATAACATTTGTCTTAACCGGGTTTTCTATTAATTGTGATTTCCATGCTACCCCAGTATCCCGGATAATCGAGAGTTGACTGTAGTAATACTAGTGCGTGGAAAAATATCACTGTTACCTAAATATAGCAACAAACACTTCATTAGAACTTTGGTTTGTAGTACAATATTGCATGTCTCACTAGAAACAATTTTTGTGCTTATAATTTTAAAATCTTAACACAATGTGTTCACCTGGAGACATCTCCAAATTACTAATTATATATCACACAATAATTTACCAAACAAAATTAGACCCGGTAACACTAACCAGGGCATGACTGCCTGGTTCACATCATTTCTGCAATTGCTGCAATCTCTTCTGTCATGCTGGCTGCAACACGTGCAAATACGGGGTGTTGTTCTGGCCTGTGTCTTGTGCCAGTTTGAAACTTATCTGTCATGTACATAAACTTCCAATTTATTGATCTGTTCTATTTTGTGACTGGATGTATGTTTGATTTAGTTCAAAGTTCAACCATTACATTAATACAGGGTGCCTGGAGAGAGGCTTTTGTCCTTATATCCAGGGTATTGTGAATGGACATAAGGGCTATATTATCTTGAAAGCAGAGATGTAACAATACCTTAGAAGGAAGTATTCTAATGGGTTTAAGACGTTTTGGAGTTGTGTAAGCCTGACATTTATTGCTAGCCATTAATAAGAGAGAGGAAGTTGTTAGGATTGTAGTACATGGGATGTAATGGGTTCCATATGTCTGTAATGAGTTTTTAGCTAACAACTGTTTAGCAAGGGAAACTTACTGGTTTATTGGTTTACATAAGATTCCTACATTAAGTCAACTTGTTTTAATGAACCAATTAGGAAGCAGTAAGGTTAAGTTGTCCTTGTGCTTAACTAATTAACTATACCATGTAGGCATATGGTGGAGTGGATCTATAGATCCACATAATTAGGGGGCAGAGTTCAAACTGTGTGACTTTACTAAGTCTGAATATTCAGATATGGGGCATGCACTTCGACTGGAAGCTGGTAATTCTAAATTAAACAAGCTACATAGCCACTTAGCACTTCAGTCAATTATCTTTGGGAGTGCACATCACAAGTTAGACATTAAAGGTAAAGTTATTCTGAATTTTAACGAAAAAGGAAACAAATGTGATGTTTTATGAGGGTCATACTGAAAGTCATGAGCAACAATTTTTTATAAAGTAACATGCTTTATTATTGACAAACCAAATACACCGCCTCAATCTACAGACCTTTCTTTATTTTTCCACATAATCGCCACTTCTTTGTACACATTTCTCCCAGTGTTCTGGGAGTTTGAAAATTCCCCTTCTGTAAAATTCTGTTCCAGCCATCCGAAGACACTGACGCACTGCTTTCTGAATTGCCTCGTCTCAAAACGTTGTCCACGCAGCTGATCCTTCACAAATCTGAAAAGGTGGTAGTTGGAGGGTGCCAGATAAGGGCTATAGGAGGAGTGTGGAAGAACTTCCCACCCCATCTTTGAAATTGCTTCCAATGTGAGGCGAGAGGCGTGGGGATGAGCATTATCATGCAGGATGATGATGTTTCGTCCCGGACATTTATTGCGCAATGCACGATGGAGCTTGTGCAGTGTCTGGACATAACGAGCAGCATTGATGGTTTGTCCAGGTTCCAGGAATTCGGCCAGAATAAAACCCTCTGCATCCCAGAAGACTGTGCCCATCACCTTCGCAGCT